AAGGCAAATGATTCCATTATCGATTTCATTATGACATTGAATATAATGTACATATGTTACATTTCCGTCCATATTTTCCCCATTGGTCATGTTTAGCTGTAGATTTTAAAAAGGCACATAACATTCTATGCATACGTTTACACACCATAGGAAAAGTAGAATAATTGAAAGTTTTAATATAAAGAAGGAATTTATGTAAACAAATTGAAAAAAGTGATTCTTAATTACATATGCAAATGGACATTAGGGATGCACCTTGATTTAATGTTTAAATTGCCTATGTGAAAGCCAGGTAAATTAGAAAACCTTATTTATTAATGCTGAGCATGGGCTTTTAATTTTTTTTTTCAGGAATGCAAAGGATAATAATCATATTCTCATTATTCATTTCATGATTTTACAAGCTCATGAAAACTAACTAGCTAGATCAAACAATGCCTGACTTAAATTAGTTAAAAAGTCATTTCTAAAGCTTTGTGAGATACATGTATTTGAAATGTCTTTACAGTTTTGGATACCCAGATCCCACATTCCTGGACCGTGTGTTAGAAGAATTAGCAGCAAAAGGTGTGACAGAAAATGATCTGCATGAAGCTCCACCTGATATCATCAAGTGAACTCTGTCAATTTCAGACTCAATGCACATGGAAAAAACATTTTTGATTTTCTCTGCAAAGTTTTAAAGACAGGAGTTTTCTATGAATTAATTTCAAAAAAATAATTTATTCTGAATTGTTTAACTTTAATTATTATGTCTTCCCTTGTTTTTGAACATATTTTATTGTATTAAACAAAAGGATTGGAAACAAGTTCTTTCAACTTACGAGTTCCTCTCCTTAAATATAACTATATGTCATGCAATAAAAATACATGTAGTACATAGAGATATAAATACAAATTGCAGAGTTCCCGAAACTAGTCAAAAATCTGTCGGACAATTGTCCTGTAAATTTTTAAAATTCACCGGACAAATGTAAAATTTACCGGACATTAATTTTTTAGATAAAATAAAATCCACTTAAAAGTAATGCAAACAGTTAAAAAAATTCTTTAATTTATTCCTTTTCTCTCTCTCTATTTCCCATTCAGTTTGTCTTACCAGTTTGCCACTGTAGTCCATGATCAGGAAGACCTTAGGACATCTAAATGAAAAGTTAGCAAATACGTTTTTTTTTTTATTAATTCATTAAAATATTTTCTATTAGGCCTATGTATCTGGGGTTAGACGTCGCTGACGGTGTATGATGACCAGGGCTTCATCGTATAAAAATTATGTCCTTTCTGACATATTTTATTTTTAAAATAAAATCTGCAACATGACGTCTTTTGTTTGATTGTTTTACTTAAGAATGTATTATACAGAAATATGTACTAATAATATAAAAATATGCAAATTAATCATGAAAATGATGATTTTAAGTGACATTTTTGTCGTTTTATCACATGAAGTCAGCTAGTCCGCTTTTTTTAGAAACGGGGAAAAACGCGCTTGTATAAAATGCTAACAAATGCATGGGGAAAAAAATCCAGAAATTAGTTTTACATTTATAATTCTAATGAATTAATTTACAGAGAAAATAAAAATGGTAAGAAATTGTCTATAATCAAGCAGAAATAGCTGGCAACTTGGCTTGATCTTAACCATGTTAACCCTGCAAAGTTCGTCCTGCAAAACGAAAGTAAATTGCCACATTTTTTACTGTCAGAACTACAGAGTGTATATTAAGAAGGAAAAATATTTGTTTGACAGGTTTTTTTTTCCAGACTTATGGAGAATATTATTTTATTATGTAGCCTTTTATAGTAGACATACACCGTCTACATTTAAACAAGAATGCACGAGAATAATCTGGCGCACCACTGACGTTTTTTTTTTTTTTAAATTTCTTTGGCTTTGCACGCTGATTGATTCTTGAATTAAATGATTTTGTTAAAATTATGTGTCATTGTTATACAGTCTGTAAAAAAGACCGTCGGACATTTTGACCGATAAAATTTAAATTTTACCGGTCCCATTCAAAATTTACCGGGGATCCCCGGTGGACCGGTGCGTTTCGGGAACTCTGTACAAAAGAGATACAAGTGGAATATTTGTTCAGAAATATAACAATTTAAAATCTACAAGATTCGTCAATAAATTTATGCACAGCAGCAAAAATATATGTGTTTGTTTCAACAGGCAAATTTACATCACCACATAATAACAAATTTGTGTCAATATTGACCAATTCGTCAAGTAAAAATAGGCGATTGAAAAGATTATTCCTAGCGTTTGGATAATTTCTGCAGGCAAAGAAGAAATGGTAAACATCTTCATACTTTCCACATGAACATAAAGGGCTATTAATAATATTTCTTTTGTGTAAATCATAATTAAGTATACAGTTGTGTCTGAGTTTAGTATGTATTATATTTGTATAACGTTTGCCAAATGAAAAATAGATTGGGGGATTTTTTACTTCTGTAGTAAAGTTTTTTCGAAATGCATTGAGTGAGATGGCTTCCCTAGTTTCTGTCTTTAATAAATTCCACTGTTTCACAGCGTCAGGAATAAAAGACCTTTTATATAATTCTAATCTGCATCTTGGGGCAGCGTATTGTTCTTTATTACGGGTATTATATTTTGAAATGTTTTCACGCTTGTTTGGAACAATGTCATTCAAATATTCAGGTACACTACCATTATGAATTTTGTACATTGTGGTCATTTTTGCATTATAGCGCCTAACTTTCAATGTTTCCCAGCCAGTTTCAGAGTAAAGTATTTCTCTTGATACAAAAATTGGAAGGCCTGTAACAATTCTAGCTGCAGATAATTGAACTCTTTCAAGCTTTTCGGCATCATTATTAGAGCAGCCATCCCAAACAATTGAAGCGTATTCGAGCGAGGGTCTGATAAATGTGATATACAATTTTGAAAGGTGTGTCCTGCCGATTTTAAACTTTAGTTTTTTCAAAAGCCCGAGTTTCTTATAAGCATTGTTTACAATGCTATCAATGTATTCTGTCCAGCTAAGGTTTTGTGATAACAATAGACCTAAATGACGATGAACAGGGACACACTCCAGTCTGTCACCTTTAAAAAATAATTTAGGCATAACAGAAATATTTTTCTTATTGAAAAAAATTACTTTCGTTTTGGAAGGGTTGAATTTTAGAAGCCACTGATTTGACCAAAGTTCCAGTACATGTAAATCATGATTTAAATTATATTCAATATCAAGTATGTTGTATGAAGAATGTTGAAGTGAATTGTCATCAGCAAAAAGTCTACACAATGATAACATATTTACAGCAACATCATTTACATATATCAGAAATAAAAGGGGTCCTAAAACTGAACCTTGGGGTACACCTGCAAAAATATCTAGTTTTGATGATAACAGATCTTTATACATAACTTTTTGTGACCTTTTACACAAATAACTAGAAAACCACTGCAGAAGATCACCTGATATACCGTAGGTTTGTAATTTAAAAAGAAGTCCTTTATGCCAAACTCTGTCAAAAGCTTTAGAAAGATCGCAGAAGACCATACAACATGATTTACCTTCATCAATATTTTGAACAATACTATGATACGTTTCTAGTAATTGATAAACAGTTGAATGACCTGGTAAAAAACCTGCCTGATATCGATAAAACAAATTATTACAATGGAAATAATTGTAAATATGTTTAAAAATAATTCTCTCCATAATTTTACTAACACAAGATAGTAACGACACAAGTCTATAATTAGAAACTAAGGAGGGATCATCTTTTTTAAACAAAGGAATAACATGAGCAGTTTTCCAAAAGAACGGAAACTTTTTTTCTGATAGGGACCTATTAAACAGCAGTGTAAGTGGTTTAGCAACAGTATAAACAGTGGATTTTAACATTTTGTGACTAATGCAGTCAGGACCTATGGCTTTGTTTACATGAAGAATTGATATGATATCGACTACTTCTTTTTCCTCAATGACAATATTACTGAATGTGTTCCTACACAAACTGTACATATTTGGCAATGTTTCATTTGAATCGTCAATTGTCGAAATGGAAGAAAAATAAGAATTTATTGCTTCAATCTTATCAATATCAGAATAAGCAAAGTGTTTTTCGCCATTATCATCATGTATTTGGACTGGTGGGATTTCGTTGGACATTTTCATGTTTCATTTTCTTCCCTTCAAAGGGGAGGCATATTGTTTTTGTTATTTTTTTTACAATTTGTAGCATTTGCACAGCAAATCATTTATTTTTTAAAATGTTTCATTGAAACTTTTTGTTATAAATTAGTTTCTCGTTACAGATTTTCAATTTATATACATATACATGTAAAAGGACCTATATTTTTTCTGAACATGAAGTTATTTTGAAACATTACATAAGTTTAATTTTATGCATTGTTAAAGAATTTATGGACACTAGTGTAGAATCTGTTTGAAAAAGAGTTAGTACCTGTAAGAAATAACATATGTGAATGCATTTTTAAAAGCATTATCACTAGTCATTGCAAATACACAAAATACCTACATGTATGTAGATCGAATCAGGTATTTATGTTTATATGAATAAAATATATTTTAATCCATACATTTGAATGCAAAAAATAGGTTTTATTTCATTTTTGTTGTTGTTGATACATGCATGTTTCTTTCAAATGAAATTTTATGTAACTATGCATGATGAAAATTTACACATTGACATTATGTGCAAACAATTAAAAAAATTTATGCAAGCAAAAGTTGTTGTGTAGGAAATTAATCTACAGATACATGAAGATAAAAAAATAAACAGGATTTGGTCAGTTGTTTAAGCATTTGTGACTTTGACAGTTTCTTGATATCTGTCTTCACTGAATTGTCATTATCAAGCAATATTAATTAATTAATTAATTAATTAAATTGGAATACAATGAACACACTGATATTTTGACGCCAGCGAGTTTCAGTGTGTTAAATGTTCAGTGTCACTATGCATATAGTTCTAACACTGTCAGTAATAGTGATTGACAAGGTGTGAAATTGTATAAATACTGCAAATAATTATTTAAATTTAACAGTCTAAGCTTTGGGGGTGCGTGGATAAAGACATACGTTGGTGACTATTAATGTCCTTGTATTTTTTTGTTGTTGTATATTTGTGCTAATGGATTTAAATTTGAATGTAAATGAGTGTTTTATATCTGGCGATGCCGAATTAATGCTGGAAATGTCTTGTGGCCAAGAATGTTTAGTTTTTCAAGATATGAACACTTTTCGACACAGTACGCCGAAAGAAGCTGCAAGCCGATTTCATGGAAAACATGGTAGTGTTGTGCAAAATGGATTATTTTCACAAAGCAAGTCTAAGGAAAATATCTGCGTGAAGAATGTGAAATGTACACATGAATTTTTACAGCGCAGAAAAGAGGAAACCATTCACAGTACGCCTAAATTTAACAACGATTTAACAAATATTGGAAGTGAGAAAAGTAAAAATTTAGAAACATTGATAGAAATCAAAAAGTCCAATCATCGTGCAGTATTGAAGACAGCTCGAATCTTACACGGGACCCCAAAAGAATCCGGAAATAAATTAATGACTAGATGTCAGGCAATCCTAAAAGAAGGCGATTTTTGTCACAGTACACCTAAAGAAATGGAAATTCAACCGAGGAAGAAATGTGACGTCTTTGCAGAAAAAGGAAAAATGAGACACAGTACACCAAAAGAAGCGATTGACGTCACAGAAGAAGTGGATGAGGATATGTTATGGACTGGTGCCTCGGCAAAAGTTCTTCAACGTGCCATTTCTGCTCCACAGCTTCCGGGAAATTCCGAATTTGATTCAAACAATTTGCATCGCGTGATGTCACTTCCGCATTTATGGATTCCAAGACAAAGTACTCAAGTACAGCATTGGCAACGACGTTTGGAAGTGCTAAACCGTAAAACGGAGAAGATGCGACAGAAGGATAAAGCATTGAAAGATAGACTCGAGAGAATTCAGAAACGTGCCGACTTGTTGACGAGTAGTCCCATACCTACGCCTGTAAAGGAACCACAGTCACGAACAGCGTGCTTGAATAAGTATTTCAATAATTATAATGCTAAATCGAACACCATCCGAAATGTGCCAAAGATCAAGAAGCAAGTGGTTCATCATCCAAACAATGTTTATTCGTGCACTCTTGGAAACCTTATTATTGGGCGTTCGGAACTTCACACCTACTGGAAGAATGGACAAAAATGTACCTATGTTTAAGTATCAATACTTGTAATTCGACATGTTAAAAGTAACAATTTGTACATAAAATTTTTGCCAATATACATAGAAACTTGGCTAATTGTTAATAAATTTATTTGTACATATTTCTATACATGCTGGTGTAAATATGGTAAAATTGTATATAACAAAAATGCAATGCATTATTTTGAATAATTGAAGATGTACAGATTATACAACAATTCTGCGTTTATGTTAGTACTTTTACTTACTATGCACTTAATGTGTAAGATCGACGTCGCATTAGTTTTACTTTTTAATGTTTGATTATGATTCGTTATGATTGTTTTGTTAATGAAATTCAAATGATGAAAATAAAATAAAAGTAAAAAAAACCTACACTGGCTTTACTGTATAATTCAAAAGTGAGTTATCTCCCCTCAAAATCGGAACTCTTCAACACTAGCATAACTTCCGCGGACTACATGTTACGATAATCCAACAAAATAGTGATCAACTTACACGCTGCATTTAAAAATTTTAAAAGAAGGAAACGGTGTGCATTTTTTTTAGATAATAAATTATTTTATAAAGGGTCTGTTAGCCCCCCCCCTTTGTAGAAAGCTATACGATTTAGCCAGGCACGTAGCATTGTCTTTAAAAGTCGGGGGGGGGGGGTAGCCAAAGAAATATTTTTTTCTTACCTGGAAATGTTGGCAAGCAAAGAAAAACCTTGCCCAAAGTTGAAAAAGCTACTTATTTCAGTACCAGTTCCTTGGCGTTCAATACTTTACATTTCCCTTCTATAACTTTACCGTAGTATCGATATAAACTGGGGGGGGGGTGGCAACCTGTCTATCAATGAACATTTTCAATAGAAAAAGTAATATTGGGAAAAAAGTGGGGGTGGGGCTAAACCCCTTGACCCCCCCCCCTTCCGTGCGTACAGGTACAGAGAATATGTAAATGGGTTGAACAGTTGAATATGAACCATAGTTGTGAAAATTATAAAAATTATTAGAATTTTTAACTGTGAATTCAATAAAATTACGGTACATATATTTTTTCACAGATGTACATGTATGTCAGTTACACGGAGTCTCTCTCTCTCTCTCTCTCTCTCTCTCTCTCTCTGATTGTTTTTTACACGCGTTGCGAAAAAAAGAATAACTTATAAAAATAAATACATGTACTTACACTGAAAGGATTTAAAAAAAATAAATAACACTTGAGAAAAGATTGTTTTCGGTTAATTAACGAGAAATACGCTAGGAAATTATTGTATCAATTTCGTGTTTCTGCTCTCAATTCTCTGATCTAAAACAAAATGTGTATTTTACTCGGGAATATACATGTACATATGCTTAGATCCTACACTAAAACCTTGATTAAATGCAGCTCAGACTTTATACGACATATGTAACACGAATTCAGGACGATGCTATTTTAATTAGTCTTTCTTCGTTACATGAGCACATGAAATTAAATTATTCATTTAGAATTCCATTCAAAGTTTTAATACTATATAGTGAATCAATTATTTTACAAATAAAAAATTCTAGAAACACGGTTAATTCAAATGAAATAATTAAGCCTTTAATTGTCACCAAATGTGTTCTTGTAAGTAAAAGTTATATGTTATGACCTACAATCGAGCAAAAACGCAGTTTCTTGGTATCGGTCGCGGAAGACGAACTACTGCTGTATATGCAGCAATTTCAGAGGTAAAACTGTAGATGGACATGTCATCAGTCTTCAAAAAATTCCTAGAGATACAATGAAAATATGGCTGCAGCAGGCTAGATTACTATTCATAAAAACTTTATAACTAAAAATTTGTTCCGCACATTTTGTAAATAATGATGATCCGTCTGCAGAACATCCACTACCGAAAATTAGCTTTTTTTTTTTTTTTTTTTTTTTTTTTTAAAATAGGCCTATTCGAATATGTATTAGCATTTTATCAGTAATTTCTTTCTTTCTTTTTTTTTTTTTTTGTAAGGGGGGGGGGGGTCACACAGCACCTTATTATAGTACTACACAGATTAATACAAATCCAGAAAGAGACTATGAGTGGGCAATTTAAAAAAAATACGAATCAGTTAAGATTTCTTTTTATTCACAAACACAATAACATTTTTCCATATGACAGAGGCATACACCATGAACATGTTTACATCAAGAACGTCCGCGGAAGTGACTTTATTTATAGCACATGCGTATTAAACACAGTAAAAGAGTTCCCTTCAGGGGAAATAACTCACCTTTTGAAAATGGGGAATTGACGATACATGTACTGGTACATGTTTAATTTGTGTTTGACTCCGGTGTGCAATTCAAATTCTTATCAAAACAAGCAAGCAATTCAACCAAACCAAAAAGGAATTATATATCAGATGAGAAGTCAAATTAATAGCAGTACATTGCACAAGATTAATAAAATGATTTTTAATTCTTTGTTAATGCAGGTTTACCATCATTGCAATAAACGTAGATGGCCGGTGTATGCTAATTATGCGGTTTTCTGCGATGGTTGCACTCGTTAATCCCATGGTCAAATTAGCATATTTCTATTTTTTTTTTTTTATTTTGTATAAATATTCATATAAAAAAGGTTTGCATTGTAAATATGCAAAATACATGCATTGCATTATTGATATTTTTTTTTATACTTTATTAAGTGGTTTTCGTGTATAAAGAATGAGGGAGAAAAAAATTCAGTGAATGTAAATGCTTGTGTATATGAATATTGTGATGTAAAATTTGGGAATACAAATGTATAGTAATAATTCCACTTATTATAGAAAATTTATTGGAGAACATGATATCAATCGGAAATCAATGTAAAAAAAAAACTTTATTTACTATATTACATATAAATCTATGTAATACTGTAGTATATACTTTTTAGATGAATACACGTATTTATAGAAACCCTATATGGCATATTCTAGACAATGACACCGTACGTCAAAATTGTAAGGGACGACAACTCTGAACAGATAATTAATAAAAATTAAAATAATTACGAATCTCCTTCTGCACCATTTTCCCCTTAGCAGGGTTTATAGACTGGTGTCTTAAATTAACCAGATCTGGGCACAACACCCGAAGAAGATATTGATTTTTAAAGTCACAGACATGGCGTTATTTCTCAATAATAGAATGAGTATTTAGAAATACACATTTAAATAGCAAGCTTGACTAGTTGTTAACAATTTTCAATGCGGATTATGTTGTTCGTAACAGACTGTTTATAAGTGTCGCCCGGTTCCTCTTCTGTGACACACTCCAATGTATGTAAGTACTTGTCAGTTTCGTATCAGTTAAATCAACTCTTCTGTGGGTTAAATTTTGTTCATGTGTCCTTGGCATGTAATGATGGATACATTTCCAAACATGAATGTCCAAACGTAGTGAAGATTTAAGATTAATATTTGATATACGCAGAGACAATGCGACCAATTATGAAAACTGTACATATGCAACCCCCCCCCCCTTATTTAGAATATTTACTTATTTTGGCTTCTAACAATTATAAAGTTTATAAAACTTGCAAATTTTTTTTGCCTGCAGTTTGTAGTTTTCAATTAGAATACCAAACCGCCTATGAGCTGTTTTATTGATTTATTTTCATATATTTTTCAGCCCACCGGAAGCCACGCTCCCCCAGAGAAGGGGGGTCATTACCCTCCGCCTCAGGGTGGATACGGAGGTTACCCGCCTCCCTCTGGTGGTGCTTATCCCCCGCCGCCAGGTGGCGCTCCAGGTTACCCCGGTGGATACGGTCCCCCTCCCGGTGGATATGGTCCCCCTCCTGGTGGATATGGAGGCCCCTCGTCTGGTGGATACGGCCCCCCTCCGGGTGGTTATGGAGGTCATCCCGGTGGATATGGGCCCCCACCAGGAACGGGGCCAGTAGGCCCTCCCCCAGGCGGCTACGCTCCTCCTCCGATGGGAAACATGGGGCACATGGGACCCATCTATAACCCGGTAAGTGAGCATCATATTTGTATGTAAAAAGCACAGGCACTTGTTTCGGATTAAAGAAGATGAGGCGGACTAATGCCTATTTAGTGCGACAGATACATGTAAGAAGTGAAAAATTAAATCTCAATTATATTCAAATTTTATTTGATATTTCATCTAATATTAAAGTTTACTTAATGTAAAATCTCTACAATTTACAAAACCCCCACAGAGACTGAAAATATTTGCCTATGAAAAAGCATACACACACTAAAAAAAACAAAAACGATCATTTTCTCATACTTCAACAATTTTTTTAATATGAGTGGGTCTTCACTCCACTTTTTTTGAAAGATAATCCTAAAAGTTTGCAATAAGATATACATTTTTTGATTTACAAACACATGCATGGAGCGTAGACCCACTATACATTAAAAGTACACTTTTATGGCAAAACATTCGCATCTTTTTGAGAATTACTTCAAGTCCATTAAGTCAAGGGTCATATCACAAAAATGATTTAAATGTCCACAATCATCATGAGCCATGTAGCATAGTGGTTAGCGGGTTAGTCTCAATGCAGTACGGAAATTCGGATTTTTATTGCCAGGAGGTTCGAATCCCACGAATACCATCTAATATTTTTATTTAAAAAAATACGAAATATTTTTTCTCTCAGAAAAGGTTTTTTTCTCTCATAATTTCATAAATTTAAATAATGAGACGTTAATTTAAATACTCAATTCACATATTGAATATGATTTCTTAATATCTGACGCTATAGGCATTCTGCCCTCCTTGTTCCCCCATCTTCTTTTTAACCTATAGTATAATAGTAACCAGTGGGTTAAAATTTTATTTCCAGAACAAGTGCCTGTGGCAAAAAGTGAAATTTTGTTCTGGTTCATCATAAGTGCCCGGTGTTATGGTGAATTCATTGAATATAACATTGCATACAAAATTATTACTTTTCGTTATTGCTTCACATGACAGATTGAGTGTGAAGTTTGTCTTTGGTGCTGGTACATCTATTGAAAACTATTATTGGCACTATATATACTATAACAGAAATATTACACAGTGTTCTGTACCGTGTAAAAATCACTTACTTTCTTTTTAGCCTTATTTGTTGTCCAAATGTAAAAGACTGCATATATTTGCTCTTTTTTTTATGTTCTACTTTTTAAAATGCCTTCCCGGGAATTAAAACATTTGCAAATTGAATATCTCAATAGACCTACATTTCACCTCAAGTAATGAATCAAACTCTTCATTTGAATACATTATACATATTATTATTTTTTTGGGTAATATTTATCTTAAAATCTGATGAAGAAAGAAATAGAAGTTGGTACAGCGTGTATTAACAAATCACGATATATAGAGACTCAAATTGATCATAATATTGGAATAAGAATGAAGACAAACAGACAGACGGGCTGGTTTAAGTTATATAAACACGTTAAAAACCGATTGAAATCTTTTTTCTAAATCAACCATCAATGCATTGAATCAAACTAACATGACATTTTCTTCCGACATCGCTTCCTACAATAAATGTCCCCCTCTTGTTGCTCTCCCCTCAGAATTTTTATCAAGGTCTCAGTATAATTTAATCGTTGATTATACATGCATTTTTAAAAGTAATTCTCCAGTTTCATCTTTTTCCTGATAAGGACAAATACAGAAAACTTTCAAATAAGGCTCGAATGTATTAAACTATATTTGTGTGATGTACATTGCAGCCCATGCCATTCAGGGGTCGTGTTCCTGGCGGGGTTGTTCCAGGGAGATCAATCATCATCAAAGGCATGGTCACCGCAGATGACAGGTATGTTATAGTATTCAAATTTCATAACCATTTTAAAATTATTTATAACCTACATTTTTAGCCCACATGAGCTGAAAGCTCAAGTGAGCTTTCCTGATCACCGTTGTCCGCAGTCGGTAGACTTTTCACATTTTCAACTTTTTCTCAAGAATCACTGGGTCAATTTTAACTAAACTTGGTACAAAGCATCCTTGGGCAAGGGTGTGTGTGTGTTAAATTGTAAAAATAAAGGACCAAGTCCTTTTAAAATGGGAGATAATCATGAAAAGACAAAATGGAATGGAGTCATTAAAAAATCTTCTCAAGAACCACTGGGCCAGAAAGCTGGAACTTATTTGGAAGCATTCTGGGGTAGTGTAGATTCTAAATTGTTCAAATCATGACCCCCGAGGGTAGGGCGGGGTCACAACAGGGAATCTAAGTTTTACATTGAAATAATATTATAGAATCAAATATGAAATAACTATATAAAATGATAAATGAAACTTTAAATCATGGTTGCAGATTTTCAGTGAACCTTAAATGTGGGGATGAATACGGCCTCCACTTTAACCCTCGTCCCAGTCAAGGCTGTGTGGTCCTGAACCATAACCAAAATGGATGGGGACCTGAAGAGAGGCACGACGGAAGTATGTTCCAACCCGGACAACATTTCGAGCTCTGTATACACGTGGAGCCAAACCAATACTTGGTAATGCAAATGACTATATATATTATGCTAATGTAAGAACTCACTCTGTAATTATATTCATGTATCAATGCCATTTTTATCATTTAAATGATATTTTACACAGACAATAGCTTCATGTTAATGACAGACATGTATCATCGCGTTTAATGACAACCATGTAGCATTCTTTTAATTAGGATATTGATCTACAACCAAATTCATAAAATTTTACAATATGTTCATGTTAAAATGAACTATTATGGGGAAGTGCAATAAATAAATGATATCAGTATCAGGAAAACCTTAAATTAAAACTCATATGATAAATCTGAATTAGAAATTCTTTATAATTCTGCTATAAGAAGGCCAATTTAAGTTCTATAGTTGTATAGCTTTGGCATCAAAATAATGGAAGCTGTACTTTCTTGGGCTAAAATCAACTTATAGTGAACGAGGTCTACAGTAACTGTGACTTATACACACAGTATTGATGTTGGTTTTTATTTCTTTTCTTTCAGGTATTTATCAATCAGCAACCTAACCCTAACATTACCTTCGCCGCCAGACTGTACCCAATAGAAAAGTACGACGAGTTACACATCGACGGTTCGATTCAGATCAACGAAATTAAATTTGCATAATTCTCCTATAGAAAATAAAAGACTCAGATTTTATAATCCACTTTGACATTTTATAGGACCTATTTTCTGCTTCATTTCATGAGTGATGTGCCTGTGTATTGTTTTTAGCGTGTTTTGACTTTTTACTTTGTATTTCATGGAATTTGCTAAATATATATCTTGAAACATTTTTATCTTAAATGAACGTCTAAAAAATAAAGATCATATTGTACATACTACTTATAGCTAATATTTGATTTTTTTCTGAGTTTATACAAGGTTGACAAATTAGAGGAATACAGAATTTATACATTTTATTTTTAGAGATTTTGGTGGAAAGAAGCTTCTGTTAAAAAAGTGCATCGCTAAATGGTGTTATCTAATTGATAATGTCACATTTAGAAAATCGAATAACTTTATTAAATCTATACGAAATAGCTGGAAAATCAATCCACACGCTAAATACACCACAATTTATAATAAAATTTAAGAAATTCTAAGAACATATCTATGAATTAAAAGAAAATAGTAAACTTAAACACCCTAGAACATAACTAAACATTACAGAGCAATTTCCGAAAAAAGCAGTTAATATTCCAATTCTTAAAATTATAAACATCCAACTTAAAAAAATTAAGATACAGTGTATAATTATTTGTTTAGAATTAACAATTAACTCTTTTCACATCGAATACAATACTCAACGTCAGTCGTGGAACCAACAACATTCAACGAACTGTAGTAAAACAACCACTACTCAGTATCCAATGAACATTCAGGAAGTTAAAATTCCTGAGACTGAGCCAATCGCGTTTTCTCGGTCTTTCGGAAGTCCCAGGACGTTGCGAATGGAAGCTGAGTAGATTTAGTTAATGTCATGAATACATGGGAGAGTATTGGTTTCTTTTAATGCAATGATATTCAAACTTTTCAAATTTGCAAAGCTGATGCTTTTTATCAAATGTCCTGTTTTTAGGCGAGCTTTTGAAAAAGTATCAAAAGAATTAATTTTTTCAATTCCTGATAATAACGCTTCTAATTTTTTTTTAATTTGATCAAAATAATTGGTATATACGATTTCTTTTCAAGTAACAATATATTTGTTGTTACATGTACATGAAATATGACGACTTGTGACCGGCAACGGAACTTATTTATACACACAGCAACAAAATACAACCAAAACATATGTTCTTTTAAAATGTGCTTTTAATATACAGAAGGATTCTTGTATGCATAAGTTCATCATCCGAGTACAGATGGACTAAAATCAGTTATTTTCATATCTGTAAAAAAAAAAAAATGAAAAAAAAATTAAGATTAAATATGGTGGCATATTTCAGCCCCTTGTGTGCAAGTTATTTTTCTATCAAACATAAATAAGTTGCATGTTAACATAAATAAGTTGCATGTCAACATATTTATCTTGCACGTTAACATAAATAAGTAGCATCTAGCATGTTGGATGTCACATGTGGGCGATATTTGAGATTTTTGAAGATTTTTTATAATATTTATTTGATTGCAATTTTCTTGCATGTCAACATATTTATGTTGCATGTCGACATAGCTACCAGTATGTTGCATGTCAATATATATATATATCTTGCATGTCGACATATTTGATAGAAAAATAACTTGCACAAAAGGGGCAGAAATATGCCACCATAATTAAAAGAGTAAAGAATTGAAGTAGTTTTATTCAATTATGTGTGTTTGTATGTGTAGCTAGGGTCAAAACCCGGGAAAAACATTGTGAGAGTTTTGCATGAGCAATATCAGTCCTCTACCAGCAGGTGTAATCTGGTTTCCGTTAAATTTTGAAAATGTCGTAAATCATAAATATCTCAATGAAATGGAACATAATACAACTTGATTTATTATAACAAATCAAAGAACTCGTAGACTTGCATACCAAAACCAGCTCAATATCTGCAAGCGTGTAGGAAAGAAGTGCGGAAAGCCATTGAAAATTATAGAGGCCGTAATTCCCCAAAACGTTTATGTTTCCTCATGCTGCACATTCTCACCTCAGCTCTGTTTTTTTTTTATTTACTGAGTTATGATCATATAGAATCAATGAACACAATTGTTGAGATAAAACATGTCATTTATTTAAAATGACGAAAATAAGAAAAATATATACATAACTTGGTAGGGAATCAGGTCAAAAGGTAATAGCAAGTTGTTTAAAGCGGAACAAAATCTAAACTTGATCCGTATTTATAACTCATCAATACCCACAAACAGCTCTAGAGACGGGCAGCTAGCCAGATGAACGGACAGCTAAACAGACGGACGGACAGACGAAGAGGAAACCCATATCACCCTTATACGGGACTACTAAGTTCTATCAGTTTTTATTAAGAAATAAATAACAAGTTTATAAACTTCAATGGGAATTGAAGTGGGTCGGTCACGTGATCAAATCCTGTGAAGGCCGAAGGCCGTCTCAGAAGATTTGATCACGTAACGACCCACTTCAATTCCCATTGAAGTTTATAAACTTGTTATTTATTACTTATATTACTGACACGCAAAAGAAACGCAACAAGCAGTAATCTACAAATGTTGATTTTTATATCTTATGATTTTCAAAAACGAATAAAGTAAGGCTAAAATCATTTTTCAGAACATCAAAGATTTGATAAAAATGTTAAATGATTATATGTTTAGTTTACTTAGTAAAATATGACTGTTTAAACACCCCCCTCCCAGCCATTCAAGTAACACGTGCAAGACTGCACTAAACAACAATTGCAGCTTAATTTCTACGATACAATAGGTTCATTAATATCGAGATCTGAGCGAAGGAATTATTCTTTGGCATTTTTAAATGCCCATTTTTCAGATGATTAGGTCGAATTTTCTCTAACTTAGAGCAGTGTAGCCACCCTTGGACTTCCGGTACAAGGAATGTCCTTAATGCACATGATACGTAAGACCCTGTTGAGGCGTAATGTAGTGAAATTTCGTATCAGCAACTCTCCATCAACTTTACATCGAAATTTTCCAGCTAGAGCTATGGAAATGCGTACATAAGCCATTTTCAAGTAGCCTTAGCATCGTTACGGAAAACGAAAGGAGAGTTTATTTTTTGAAATATTGCTGCATTACTTATGATGAACAGTAAAAAACCCTTAAAAATCCATAATATTGCAAAATGTTTTGTTAAACATGCAATTTTTGATTTCTGTTAAGCAGACTCAAACTTGACTTCCGGTTATGGTATGGAAATCGTTCAACCGTTAAATTACCGATGTTTAAGACACAAAATTCTTAATTTTACATAATTATTTCCCCCTAAAGTAGGTGTTGCGTTTCTTATATACATTTGAGACAGACGATTGAATACTTTCGAATATAAATTATTGCACTAACCGTCCGTCGTAGATTTTTAAAAATGATGCAAGGTGTAAATCGGCTTGAATGGCGGTTACGCTTCGAATTGAGCAGGCTAAGGATATTTAGCTCTTCTGAGCCAAAGGCTCAAAGAGCTAATGCTATGGCCATTTGTGCGGTGTGCGTAAACTTTTTAGAATATGGACCATAACTCAAGAACCCCTTGGCCAATCAGTACCAAATTTGTCACAGGGTATCCTTGGCCCAAGGGCTACCATTTTTACTAAAATAAGGGTTAGGACCCTTAAACAAGGGGAGATAATCAGGAAAACAAAACCCAAAGTACTGGTTGCTAAAAAATCTTCTTCTCCATAACCACCAGGCAGATTTTCACCAAACTTACATACAAGGATCAGGATATATCGAAGATTAAAATTTGCACGGGGAATTACCCTGGGGCAAAGGGCGTGGTCTCAAGGTCACTTCAAAGTTGACCTAAATTTACAATTAATAAAAACGTGTATATTTTGCTTACTACAAGGACTAGGATCATCAATTCTTGTAAGTTGATGCATCTTATGACTTCACATCATGTTAACTCGAAAGTAGGTCACGATGACCTACTTTTTAAATTTTGCGGGGATTTGTTTTCAAATTGATTTGAAGGCATATTTTGGACACTTTAAGGCCTATGATCATCAAACTTTGTCAGTTGATGCATCTTGGGTCCTCAAACAATGTCAACTTAAAAGTAGGTCACCGTGACCTACTTTTTGAACTTTATGACTTATCCTTTTAAAAACATTAAATCCCATTATTTCAGACACTGGGAGGTTTAGAATCATCAAATCTTGTACTTTGATGCATCTTGGGACCTTAAAACATATATATGAAAAAGTAGGTCACTGTGACCTACTTTTTGAATTTTGCCGACATTTGTTTTCAAATTGTTTAAAACGCATATTTTGATTACCTTCAGACCTACGATCATCAAACTTGGTCAGTAGATGCATCTTGGGTCTTTGAAAAATGTCGACCAAAATGTAGGTCACGATGACCTACTTTCGACATTTTATGGCTATATTTAAGTATCTTAGATATTTATTGGCTTAGAATCATCAAACTTTGTGAGTCCATGCATATTTGGTTTTCGGAGAGTGACGACCTAAAAGTAGGTCACGGTGACCTACTTTTGACATTTTATGGCTTTATTCAAGTATCTCCGGTACATTGGCTAAGAATCATCAAACTTTGTCAGTTGAGGCATCTTGGATTTTTGGAGAATGTCGACCAAGAAATAGGTCACAGTGACCTACTTTTGAATATCTCAGGTACGCATAAGCTTAGAATCATCAAACTTTGTCAGTTTAGGCACCTTGGGTTTTCGGAGAACGTCGACCAAAAAGTAGGTCACTGTGACCTACTTTTGACATTTTATGGCTATATTTAATTATATCTGGTACTTATTGGCTCGGAATTATCAAACTTTGTCAGTTGAGGCATCTTAGGGTTTCATTGAATGTCCAACAAGAAGTAGGTCACGGTGACCTAATTTTGAATATCTCAGGTACTTATTGGCTTAGAATCATCAAATTTTGTCAATTTAGGCATTATGCGTTTTTGGATAACGTCGACCAAAAAGTAGGTCACTGTGACCTACTTTGACATTCGATGGCTATATCTAATTATCTCTGGTACTAATTGGCTTAGAATGATTTATCGTCAAACTTTGTCAGATGATGCATCTTGGGTTTTCAGAGAATGTTGACCAAAAAGTAGGTCATAGTGATCTACTTTTGAATATCTCAGGTACTTATTTAACTAGAATCATCAGTCTTTGTCAATTAATGTATCTTGAGTCCTCAGAAAATTCCAATCAGAAGGTAGGTCACTTTGA